TTTCTTCGCAGCCATGGGACCCGGTATGGACATTGCGAGGTATTGGTTCAGCGAGAAAAGTTCCTTGTCGACTTTCGCCCAGGTCGCTGCATTCTCGGCGCCTGAGTCCTCCAATGCCTTCGAAAGACGCTCTAATTTCGCGTCGAGTATCCGAATTAAAGCGGAACACTGGCAGTGGTCTTTCGGCATCTGCACTGGGGATTGGGTGCCGTTCCGGGGGACTCTTCTCTTCGCTGGGTATGCATTTGCACCCTTGACGTAGAGGCAGCTGGCACAGACAAACATTAACTGCTCTGCTCTTCTGGCCTCTTTACGATGATTCTGGTACAACCCTGTTGAAGGCCCTGTGATGACCCTACAAATCCAGTTGTAATAATCTTCCACTGTCTCCATAAATGCCCGTGACTTTTCTTTGGGCACAGAAGGAAACTGTGGACCAACATTGGTGTTGCGCCACCTTTCGCAGTACACAACTAATGCTCAAGGTGAGCCACCTTAACCGAACCCCTTTTGGCCTGAACTGCTGGGTAGTGCAATTCCTAACTGCATCTCACCATTCCAAAAATTCCGATTCCCGACGCGAAGTTCTGCGGGATATTTTAATCCTACATTGTTTCCTATTTCTACTGATGTATTCCGTCTTCCAGACGTGCTTCTGAAACCCAGGCCCCGTCACAAATATCACACCTGGAAAACTGAGTGTACGCTGTAGTGGTTCGATCTTACATTTGTCGGATGTGTGAATGGCTTCTTCGGAACCCCTTACACATGTCCATCGGCACTTTTGTAGTTTGGTTTGGGTAGAGTGGCTGAAACAAAACAGAACTGTTGAGCTGCATAAAGTGAATTTCGATGAACTGGCCGATAACACTTCATGAATTACGCAGGATGTTCCATCTGCCTCCTATACAAAGGCCCATCTTTGCCCTGTCACGACGATGAGGGAAATCCAGTGGTATCAGCTCTACGACTTCGCAAAGAGGCGTAGGAAGCTCAAAGCAGTGAATTCAGTTGCGCTAGAAACTACCGTCCTCTCAGGTTGATACTCCAGTAGAAGTCTAAAACATAAATGCAGTTCCTTAAATACATCGTTATCTCACGCAGGTAATGGTGGCCACAAATTAGAACTGCTACCCTCAGCATGTGACTCTCACTCCTAGCCATACCTCATAAAATGAATAAGGAACGAACAAACGATAAAACAAACCCACAACACACGGCGAACAGACAACTAGGAAAAAACCTCAATAAACTGATTGGGGCGCCGCCTCCGCACTGAGCCTGTCATTTCTTTATCCCCTATCCTCGATGAAAGAAGTGAAAAAGCTTTTTCTGATTAAACAACCCGCACTAATCTTGAAAATCTTGGTGTGACGTCATCATTTATTATTGGTATCCACAATGAAAACCCATCGGTGAAGCCCCGTTCACATCAGGTACAAGTATCAAGTTGCCTTCGAGGTAACGATAGTCTAGGGAAAAGAGTTCAAGGACTTCCAGCTATGCCTCATATCAATGAATTGAGGATTATTAACCGTCTTTGGAGCAGCTTCCTGGACACGCCCCGAATCCCGACTCAGGTAAGAATCTTGGTTGTTGCTTTCAGAAAATGGCATGACATATGCCCGTGGAGTAATTACAATTCCATGAGCGAAGTACGATGAAGAATGCACAAAATCGTCTGATGGGCAACGAATGCCTATTGAGCCTATTTT